TGCCCTGCCTCCCCCGCATTTGAGACAGAGGTTGCGGGTCATTCTTCTGAACAAATAAAAGAACAGACTGATTTCTACTATCAGGATTGGAGTGGTTTGGGAGGTGGCTTTCTGCATGTTGGTGTTTGGTGCTGAGTGAAGGGAATGACCCGGAAGAGCACAGGGCGATCCAGACAGTAAGCAAAGGCCTGGGAGCAAGAAGTGAAGGGGGGGCAGGAGGAAGAGGGGTTCCGGGCTGAGAGGGTGGTAAGGAGAAGAGGGTGGGGAAGAGCGCAGGGAGGCGCCTCGAGGATGAGAAGGGAGGGAGATGGAGATGACAGATAAGTTGTAGAAATCTTGCAGGAGGGGGCGCCTGGGTGGCTCAGCCGTAGGGGGTCTGCCTTTGGCTCAGGTCATGATCCCAACCCTGCTCCGCGGGAAGCCTGCTTCTCCCTCTCCCACTCCCCCTGCTTGTGTCCCTTCTCTAGCTTGGTCTCTCTCTGTCAAAGGAATAAAATCTTAAAAAAAAAAAAAAAGAAATCTTGCAGGACGAACAAAATGATAAAAGATGGAAAACAAAGGGGTGGGGGTGGGTGCCAAGGAAATCAGAGAACTGGCCCAGAAGAATCTTCCAAAGAAAGAGAGTTCTGGGAAGAGGCACCGGAGCAGAGGGGGACCCCGATGGGACCAGATGATGGGAATCCCCTGGGACCCCAAGCTTCCAGGCGCTGCGGGACAAGAGCCCCATCCCAAGGCACGTGTCTGGGAAGTTCCAGAATGAAGACCAGCTCCCCGCCAGGACAGAACGGGTCACACCTGGAATCAGGAGATGACGGAGCGTTGTCTCCCAGTTCTGCCCATTCCACACTGTGGCCGGTACCCCAGGGATCCCTGAAACCGGAGCCCCCCTCACCCCTGCACCGGCATCAGCTGCAGCGGTGGTGCCTCTGGTCACCTGGCCCTTTGCTTGCTCAGCCAGGGCCATGCGTGCTCTCTGCTCTCAGAGCTCAACACCCTGGGGTTCAGGGACACAGAGGAAGGTGGAGACGCGCAAAGAAAAGCAAGAGTGTGAGTGGCACCGTGCCAGGCGCAGCGGGGGCGATGGGGTGCGGCGCCCCCTGGACGGCCACCGGCTCTCACTGCCGTGGCTTAAACCACAGACATCTTACATGTTCCCTTTGGGACACATTTTACAGTTAAAAAAAAAAAATGAGAGAAACAAGGTGGAACCACAATCAGAAAAATCGGGAAGATAGAAGGGGCTGGTCAGGGTGCTGTGTTTTCAGGGGCAGTATTACATTTCCGTTAAGTGGCATCAGTGATCACCACCACCCATGGGCGCTTCCGCACAGGAGGGGATGATTCTGCCCCAAAGGGACACTAGTCAGTGTCTGGAGACATTTTTCTGGAGACAGTTTTGGTTGTCACGACTGAGGGGGACAGGGACGGCACCCTGAGGTGCCCAGATGTCAGCGGTGCCCAGGCCCAGAAGCCCTGTGTTACAAGAAACAGAGGTATCAGGGCGCCTGGGGGGGCTCAGGTTGTGATCCCGGGCTCCTGGGATGGAGCCATGCGTCGCACTCCCTGCTCAGCGGGGAGTCTGCTTGTCCCTCTGCTGGTCTCCCTGTTTGTGCTCTCTCTCTAATAAATAAATAAAATCTTGAAAGAGAGAGGAAAGAAAAGAAAGAAAGAAAGAAAGAAAGAAAGAAAGAAAGAAAGAAAGAAAGAAAGAAAAAGAAAGAAAGAAAGAAAGAGAAAGAAAGAAAGAAAGGAAGGAAGGAAGAAAGAAAGAAAGAAAGAAAAAGAAAAGAAAGAAAGAAGGAAGGAAGGAAGGAGAGAGAAAGAAAGAAAGAAAAAGAGAAAAAGAAAGAAAAAAAATCCAATGACAAGTCAAACTTTCAACTCCAGAGAAGTGAGTAAAGGAAAAAACCAGTGGAAAAAAAGACACAAACCAGAAGCGGGACCCAAGATGCACCCACACACCTCGCACCTCGGATCCACTCTCGTCCAGGTCCCTGGGACCTCCACCTGGTCAAGCCCTCTGGCATCTTGACCTTACTGTCTCTTCCCCTGTGGCCGCCTGGTCACCACCCAGCCCCTGGCCGCCCTGCTGCTTCCCTGTCAGAATCGTGAAGATCTACAAGGCTGGTGACCGGCTGTTGGTGAGGGGAATTACGTTCCCGCGCTGAATTATGTTCTCCCCAAATTCTATGTTGAGGTCCTAACCCCTGGGATCTCAGGATGGGACTATATGTGGATACTGAGTCTTTAAAGAGGTGATTAGGTTAAAATGAAGTCATTAAGATGGGCCCTGATCCAGCAGGACTTACAGGAAGAAATTTTTTTTTTCTTCTTTTCTTCGTTATAAGAAAATTGGACACAGACATGCCCAGAGGGAAGACAATGTGAAGACAGCCGTCTGACCAGCTGCAAGCCGAGAGGCCTGAACAGACCCTTCCCTCATGGCCTCGGAAGGAATCAAACCTGCTGACACCTTGGTTTTGCACTTCTGGTCTCCAGAACTATAAACGGAATAAACTGGTTTTCAGCCCCCAGGACGGTGCTCTGTTATGGCGGCCGCAGGAAACTCAAGGCAGCGAGGGTATGCGCTATAAATGCTCCCGTCGGGGCGCCTGGGTGGCTCAGTTGGTGAAGTGGCCAACTCTTGGTTTCGGCTCAGGTCATGGTCTCAGGGTCCTGAGATCTGGCTCGGCTCAGCGGGGAGTCCGCTCAAGGATTTTCTCTCTCTCCCTCAGCCCCTCGCCCTGCTCATGCGTGTGCACGCTCTCTCTCTCTCAAATAAATGAATAAATCTTTTTTAAAAAACGCTACCATCTCCTTACAGGAATATCTGGCATTTGTATTCATCTCTGGATAGATCCCCCCCCCCCAAAGATGACCCTGTCATGAGGACTCAGGGCCCATGGTTTACCTGGGAGCACACCCCAGGGAGACTCTTTGGGGGCAGAGACATGAAATAGGGAGGAGCCCTGTGGGGGTGCCAATGAACAGGTGACTAAGCGGAAAACCTGGGCTTGGTCCTGTTGGGGGCCTCGGGGGACAGTGTGGATCTCACTTGAGTGACCCACTCCAGTGGTGAGGGGCTGTCCGCAGCCATTGGCCGAGGGCCGCTCCTGGGGTGTTGGGTCACGCTCCTCGGGGGAGGCCCCCAGACCGGGTTGAGCGGCTTACAGCCAAAAGCAGCTGGGCTTAGGGAGGGGCACTGGCTGCGTCAGCGAACACAGTCCCTGATCTTTACTTAGCAGTTTGTTCCTGGAACACCACACACTCGTGCATGAATGCAAAGAGGCACATACAAGATCTGTTTCAGAAAGTGCCAGGAAGCTCAACCCTAACTGTCTTCAATAAACAGAATAAAGCCACTCCTATTGCCGGAAGTTGAGAGGCAGCTGAAAGCTTCAGGCAAAGCTGGATCCAGCAGCCCAGTCAATGTCACCAATAATCCAACTCCTTTCTTCATCTCTGCTCCATTTTCTGTGGTGTCAGCTTCACCCTGGGATCGCTTCCTATCTTGTGAACACAGGATAGTCCCAACAATTGCCTGTGCTGGTGTTTCTTCCCTTAGGGCCAGTGGGAGAGACGGAGGGTGCTTCCAGAAGCTCTCCCTGGAAGTACTTAGCAAACATCTCTGCTGTCTTGGGCCCAAATGGGGTCACGTGCCCACCTCTATATTTTACGGGATGCCATGGTGATTGGGGGGAAATGGGGAGTTGACCCCCACCCTCCCAGGCTCAGGGGCTGGGACTGCCCAGAAATCGGTAGGACGGGAGAGGCAAGCTGGGCGGGCCCCGGGAGCCCCTACCACGTTGTCATGGCAACAGATCACTGATAATCCCGATGGCCATCAATAAAGGATGGGTAGATGTCATCACAGGCCACCACCCCGGGGAAACACCCAACTGTTCCTAAACAATGAGACAAAACCATACACACAAGGAGCCAAGGTGTACGAATCCGGTGGGATGAAAGCAGCAGGCAAGCGGCTCGGGCCCCGCGGGGCAGAACGTACGTGAAGCACCGCCCCCTGCAGACTGCGCCCGCCCACGAGAGGCGCACGCGCTCACCCAGTCGCCCCTCCCCTGGCATGTGGAGGCTCCCACTTCCCGCCTCTGGTTGGGGCGGCCCTACAAGTTGGTCCAGGAGATGGGCTGCGGCGGAAGCAAGTCTGCATGGCCACCGTGAGACCTCTGGTGGCCTCGATCTCGGGCCCCCGCAGACAGCCACACTCGCTCCTTAAGCCTCAACCGGCCGAAGCGGGGAGGCCCTGGCACTCGACAGGCGGGCAGGGCACGGGAGACAAACAACAGGACTTGGCGGCCCTGCTCGCTGCGGCAGGATGCAACCCATTCCGACTGGTGACGTGGCTCGCCCCGTATGTCCTCAGAAGGGACAAGTGTTTATGCACAGGATGTCTCCGGAAGGACACGTGAGAAACTGGTAAAAGAAGACACCTCGGCGGAGGGAACTGGCAGGCCGACCTTCTCACCACAACCCTTTTGTGCAGCTGGAGTTTTCTAGAAGACCTGTATGTAGTAATAATTCAAACAAGAAACACATTAAAAAGGCTTATTCAAGGGGTGCCTGGCTGGCTCAGTCCATAGAGTACACAGCTCTTTTTTCTTTTTCTCAGAGAGGGAGAGGTAGGGGTGGGACAGAGAGAGCCTCCCAAGCAGGCTGCAGGCCCAGCACAGAGCCTGAGGCAGGGCTCAATCCCACAACCTTGAGATCACCACCTGAGCCGGAACCAAGAGTCGAAACCAAGAGCCGGACGCTTAACCGACTGAGTCATCCAGGTACTCTGAGCAAGCGACTCTTGACCTCAGGGTCTTGAGCTCAAGCCCCACACTGGGCGTGGGGCCTACTTAAAAAAAAAAAAAAAAGTATATTCAAGAATATATTAAAAAATCTGTCAAAATAACCTCAACCCTAACCCTGTTTTTGGTTCACAGGGGGTGGAGGTTGGGGGTTAGAGCCGAAGAAGGACAGAAAAAAACGTCATTTTAATTTTTATTAAATATACTCTCTTGGCACAAATCTTTAAAATATATAAACATTATATATAAACAAAGTGTCTTCATGGCATCAAAATGTAACTCCAGATCAGGATGGACACCAGTGGGAGGGGTGTAGCCGCGGAGGGCACCGCCCAGCTGTGTGCAGGGCTGGGGGGGGGGTTGCTGCTGAGGCTCACTCGGCTGAGAGCCACCTCGAGGAGGCACACCAGGGCCAGCAGGACCTGGGGGCCCTCCGCTCTGCGGCTCAGAGAAGGGTGCCGCCCAACCATTCATTTGGTCTCACCTGCCGGGGGTGGCCCCCCAGCGCATCTCCCTGTGAGGGGTCCCTGCCTCTCCTGCCTCTCTGGGCCCTGGGCACTGGGCAAGGCCGGCAGAGGAGGTGGGACGCCCCCCCAACAGAACAGCCATGGGACCCTGGGGACGAGCCTCAGGCCGGCCGGTGGACACATGCAAGGAAGGACAGAGAGGGATCTTCACACCCGCAGGTCCAAGGTAAGAACAGTAATGGGACAGAACGCAAGGGAGAAATGAAAGTCACGACTGGAAATGTGCGTGGGGCAAACACGCCCTCTCAGACCCTTTCATGCAGGGTGGCTGTGGAGCGATCTGGTCACCCCCCGTCACTCTCCGCCTGGAACCAGATGGGGCTGGTCAGGGTTTACGGTGACGAGACCCAGGGGCAGCCAGATTGAAAAGCAAAACCAAAAGAAATCAAGAAACTCCACACGTCATTTGGAAATGGGCGTTTCTGCGTCCCTGTGACACCTGGCAGACCCCAGGGGACTTCTCCATGAGATCCGCTCCCTGGGGGTGCCCTAGGGTACCCCAATTCCCACCCCCAGGCCACATACCGTCTCAGGGGCTCCCACTTTGGGAGGATCAAGGCTGCCAGTCGCCTCCAAGCACTCTCTTCACGGCAATCAGACCACCCTTTGTGCCTTCAACTGCCCTCAGTCCTGGCCAAGCGCCTGCTCAGGTGGGGAGCCAGGGACGTGCAAGATGCCACAGGTCCCCCCAGGAGCCGCTGTGCCTAGGCGCCGAGGGTTAGGGCCTGAGGCCTGGCCTCTGTTGGTGCGGCCTGTGGACAGGGGTGGGAGCTTCCTGGCCCAGAGGAGGTGACCTGGGTCCCCAGTTCTCAGCAGATGCCTCCAGGTTAGGACTCACACCCAAACCCATGGTGATTCCTCACACCCTGCTGCCTGGAGGAGGCGTGACCCTCCTGGGAACATTACACACTGGGTGGGTAGGCAACAGAGGGGAAGACCCACTCCTGGGGCCCTACTTTGGCCACGGAGTCCAGGATCCAAATAATGCTCTTGGGAGAAGGCTGTTCCCGAGCAGGAGGCTCTGGTGACACAGGAGTCATGTCACCTGGGAAGTGACAAAGGCAGGACAGGTGGGGTGGGGGTGGGGGTGGGGCAAGAGGCTGTTTTTCTAGCCGCAGCTGAGCAGGAGGCTGGCCCTACCTCACCAGGGCCCGGAGGTGCCTCTCTGTACACCGTGGGGCTCCCTCCCCTCTGTGGGCACAGGGGCAGGAGGAGTCGGGCTCTGGGCCCAGTGGGCATGGGGTCACTAGAACCAGGAGCACATCCAAGGTCACAGAGCGCCAGGAGGTGGCGCTGGTCACTCCCAGCTCAGGGCATTTGGGGCAAGCTCTCCAGGAGGCAGGGCCAGCCCTGGGGAGGAGGGCTGGGGAGAGCGCGAGAGCCCCGCCCACCAGTCCCAACATTGCACTTCAAGGGCCGCTGGCTTTGGGGACCGAGGTCAGGCCCCCCCAGCTTGTTCTACGAGGTGCTCTGAAACGCGGTTCCCAGGGTGGAACCGATTACACCGTCACTCCACAGGCTCAGAAAACAAAAGGGGTCAGTGGTCCACCGGCCGCACGTGGACACTCGGTTCCCCGTCTCGAGAGCTGCCGGCCCTCAGGGGCCCTAGCTCTGCAGGTGCCGCAGCAGGATCTGCATGAGGTCGAAGGTGGTGAAGCTGATGCCCACGGCGATGGGGCCCTTGAGCCAGTTCATGCTCAGGCCCTTGTAGAGGCCACGCACGGCGCCCTCCTCCCGCACGATGGCACGCAGCGTGTGCATGATGGAGGCGTGCGGGTGACCCATGACCCCAGCCGTCTGCATGCGCCGCCGCACCACGTCCAGCGGGTACGAGGCCGACTGCCCGATGAGGCCGGCACAGGCCCCAAATATCATGCGCTCGAAGGGGTAGGGCTGCGGGCGGCCGCTGTACTCTGCGGGCGAGGGACAGAGGGGCCGCGTAAGCATGTGGCCAGGGGCAGGCACGCACCCCGTGCTGAACCCGCCCCGCACCTGCCGCTCACACTCCTTCACTGCTTTGGATCCAGACCCCCTGGCTCCCTGGGGCCTTCCCGCCCCCGCCTCCTCACCTCCCTGCCATTCCTTTTGAGAAGAAAAGTTTTTAAAAAGGCAGAAATGCACTAATAGTCATTTAACCAAGTCCCACCAGCCAGAGTGAGCTCACGTCTAATCACTCTCGTTCCCGTCTGCAGCCCTCTCCACCACCCCCCCAAGCCTGCTCCGCGGGCACCCTCTGCAGGGATGCAGGGGCGTGGTGAGGCGAGCAGCTGCCAGGACAGGACATGTGGGCGGGATGGAGGAGGGCGCAGCAACCAAACAACAGGGTTCTTTAAAAATGTGTGCTTGTCAATTTAACGCGAGGCACTGACCCCAGTGAGACCGCACTCTTCACTCGGCACACCGGCCGAACATGAAGGAATCCGCCTGCACCCGAGTGGGGTGGGTGCGTGGGCACAGGGCTGGGGAGAGCAGCAAGTGGAGTAAATGCCAAAACCTGGGGCTCACACCCAACATGCAGGGAGGCGCTCCGGGGTGTCTGCGGATCACTGACAACCTGGAAACACGTAAGGGCCCCCCCAGCAGGGGAGGCCCACTCCACCGCTCAAAGGACAATGGGACAGACCTTGGATAAGGCGGTGGGATGGACTCAGAGGCGGCCTGGGGCCCCGCAGAGGGAGCGGGGCTGGGGGCGGGGAACACAGGACCTCAGAGTCACCTGGAACATGTGCTTTCTTTAACAAAAACCATCTTGGAACACTGTTGACACCTGGTCGCCCGGGGCGGCAGGTTCGGGCAGCGGTATACGGTTCTCTGTGCTTTTCTGCGCTGAGTTTCTCAAAATTACTACCACCCGAGAGGGCTCTTCCTCTTCCGGCTAGGCTGTACCCGGCTGCTCTGGGCACAAGGGGCTGCCACTGCGCTTGGTGACACTCAGGACTTCACCAAGCTGGTCTTAAAACTCGGCACGGGAGGTTGGGAGTCCAGCTGCCTCCGTGGCGGCTCGGTGTCTGTCTCATTCTGATTCGGACCTTGGCCGGGAGCCTGTCCCTCCCAGCGCAGGGACCTCAGTGGCCCGCCTCTGAGTCTATGCGGCCCGCGCTCCCGGCTCCTTACCTCTGTGCAGGCTCTTGAGCGTCTCATAGGTGAAGAAGCTCAGCCCCGCGTAGGGAATGACCCCCAGCACGGTGGGCGTGAATCCGTGGTAGAGGGTCTTCAGGCCCTCTTCTCGGGAGATACGGATGAAGACGTGAAAGATGTTGCTGTACCTGCAGGGCAGAGGGACGAGCGGGTGGGCTGTGGGCACAAAGAGGGGCCGCCGGCCTCAACTGAAGCTCAGCCCCCTCCCGGAGTTCGGCGGGCTGGGGACTGGATGCGGGTGCTTGTTTTAAGGAACACAACCGCGTCGCAAAAGCCTTGGCACTGGAGGGGGGAGACAATGCGTGCCTCAGGCCGTATCCCACCTTCGCTGCCAGATCACTGGGGGAAAGGCCCTTGTCTTAACCACGGGCATTTGTAACCTATCACTTTGGGGGGCGCCTGGGGGGCACAGTCGGTTAAACATCCGACTCTTGGTTTCGGCTCTGGTCGTGATCTCGGGGTCGTGATCAGGCCCATGTCAGGCTCCCGGCTCGGTGTGGAGTCTGCCTGGGATTCTCTCTCCCTCTCCCTCCGCCCCTGCCCCCCACCCTAATCTCTCTCTAAAAATGGATGGATAAATCTTAAAAAAAAAAAAGGAAGACTTTCGGTTCGATGTAAGTAGAAGCTGACCCTTAGGGTGAAAGAACAATTACTGCTTTTCTGGGGCAGCTGCAGAACGGCACGCCTGGCCCGGGAACTCACATTTCTTTTGGGGTCACGGCCATCCTGGCTCGGACCAGGTCCAGGGGGTAGGTCAGAGAAGCAGCGGTCGTTCCAGCCAGTGCGCCCGCAAGGAGGCGGGGCCCAGGCGGCAGGGCTCTGAAAGAGGGGGCGGAGAGAAAAGTGAGACCCCCCTCAAGACTTGGGGTGCCCACAGGTCTTGGCCAGTGGGGAGAACCAAGGAATGGCCAGGGGCTGGCTTCCTCATGGCCGAGCAATGAGGTCTCTTGAGTGGATGTCATTTTGAGGTTCCCATGGCTGCCTTTCCTTCCCGTCGGCTCGTATGGGTGAATGAATGAAGCGCTCCTTCCCTCAGACCCTGGGGGGCACGGCTGGGATCACAGGTCCCGCTGGGACTTAGGTTCTGAGGGAAGAGCAGGCAAAGGACAGGACTTCTGCCATGGTGAGCGTGCGGAAGACAGGAGGGCAGGTGATGGGGTAGAGCCGAGAGGGTTTTGGGGGGCGGCTGGGGGCGGGCACTCACTCTCCGCGGAAGCCGTAGTAGTGGCCTAGGATGCGCTTGTACTCCTCGTGGGCGCTGAACTGGATGGCGGCGTAGGGCACCACGCGCACCATGGTGGCCGAGTTCCCGCGCCACAGGCTGAAGAAGCCCTCGTTGAGGTAGGTGAAGTAGAGGAGCCTGAAGGCCTCCTGGTGGGGAGGGGCACGGTCAATGCCCTTGCCTGCCCCTCTCCCTGCTCCGCGGTGAACTGTGACTGGGGCCCACATTATCGATCCCACCACACCTTGCCTCCCCCATATTCTCTGGGCCCCATGTGGGGACCCCTCTCTCCCTAGTCCCCTAACCTTACGAACAGTAAAGTGAGCCAGGGCAAACCAGGTTTGCAGGTGACAGCCCCACACAGAGGGTGTTTGATTGGTCTGTCTGGTAGTCTAGCTTCTAAAGATATTCTTTATCTTTTCCCAAGAAGGTAATGCCTGCTCTCTGTTTAAAAATGAATCAAATGTGGGACGTCTGGGTGGCTCAGTTGGTTAAGTGTCTGCCTTTGGCTCAGGTCATGATCCCAGGGTCCTGGGATCAAGCCCCGCATCAGGCTCCCTGCTCAGCGGGAAGCCTGCTTCTCCCTCCGTCCCTCCCCCTCCCTCTGCTCTTGCATTTGCACTTTCTCTCTCTCTAACAAATAAATAAAATCTTTAAAAGAAATGAATCAAATGTGAAATCATGGGTTTATAACTCCAAGTCCTCTCCCCACCCCAAGGATGAAGCCAGAGTGGACTACATCCAGGCAGAGCTTGGGGTGCCAAGGGGCCTGGTGGGGGAGGCCTCGGTCCCCTGGCAGCTCTGGGAACTGGCTTGTGGGGGAACCAGAGGGAAAAAAACACGTTGAAAAGCCTCTCCCTCCACCCCTGGGCCGTGTGCCTCCACCACCTCCTGCCAGCCTAGCAGGGCACATGGTGATGGCCCCAGAGCCAGGAGTTGGTGACCTAGTTAGTGGCTTACCTTGGCAGAAAATCTTTTTGAAGACACTGCAAAAAAAAAAACCAAAACAAACAAAACAGAGACCATTAGATGTGAAGGACGGGACCTGGGTCTATGGGACCCCCAATGCAGGGGTTGGGTCTGAGCACAGGGAGTGAGAACAGGCACTGTGGAGGCTCCCCCGCCAGGGGCCGACGTGCGGGGCATTCCCGATCATGGTCGCCCTCCTCCAGGGAACCTCCTCACCTGCTGCGCCCCGCACCCCGGGGCCTAGGGTCCCCGGTATGTCAACTTATCCCCAGGCAGGGGAGCTGAGCTGCCACCTCCCTCCCGGGAAAAGTGAGGGTCTCTGCAGAGGCCTGGGCCTCTTGGGGTTGACACTCAGCACCCCGCAGGACCCCAATTCAACCAAACCCCTTTGAGAAAGGCCTCCTAGCCACCAGCCATGCAGAGGAACTGAAGGGCCTGGGCCTCTCAGAACAAGGCCCAGGCATGTTCGCGGCCGAGAGCCCACCCTTTCTTCCCACAGGTGTGGGTGTGGCGCCCCGGACCAGCCTCTTCCACCCTCGCTGGCGGCCACCTCGCTCCCCGATGCCACGCACGCTCCGCTGGCAGCCCCCCCACCCCCCTGAGCCGCTGCGGCCGGCAGGGATCGTGGTCTTGCAGCCTCCCTCTCCTCGCTCCCGCAGCATTGTGGAGTGTCTGCCGAGCTCCCAGGACACCCTCGCACCTGCATCCGTGTGGATGTGTGTACACACTGAGGCCACCAGAGCTAAGCCCAGCTCCCTGCAGGGCGCTACGCTTTGCATTCGCTCCAGGTGACAAGGCTGCCGATGCATGGGGAGGCGGGTGCCCAGCCGCACGCCCTTTCCTACGCCGGCTCGCTCCTTACAGAGGTTGATATTAACATCCTGTTTTGTGGATGAGGAAACGGAGGCACGGGGAGGCTAAGGGACCAGCTCGTGCAAGGCGGACGGCCTGGCTTGAATCTGCAGTCCCTTCCTCCCAAACAGTGGAGGGGCAGGGGTCCCAGCTTGTGACTGCCCTCTTGTAGGCACTGGTCACTGTCTGTGGGACAGAAAGGCCTCATCTCAGGGGACCCTGTGGCTGCTCAACCCAAGGAGGGAGCGTGATGGTCCCCAAAGGATATGTCTGTGTCCTTGAGCCCAGTACAAGTGAAGGTGACTTTATTTGGAAACAGGTCTTTGCAGATGTAATTAAATTAAGATGAGGTCATACTGGAGTGGAGTGGGTCCTAAATCCAATGACAAGTGTCCTTCTAAGAGGAGAAGACACAGACACGGAGGGGAAAGCAGAGACTGGGGCGCCGTGACCATAAGCCAGAGATGCCTGGAGCCCGGGGCGCTGGAAGAGGCAAGGAGGGCTCCTCCCCTAGAGTGTGCAAAATGAACCAACCCAGCTGGCACCTCGATTTCAGACTTCAGGCCTCTAGAACGTAAGCTGCTTGGTTTGTGGTACTTTGTGATGGCAGCCCTGGGATGCTAACAGAGTTTCTAAGTCGATTTTAAAGAGGCATTTTTTAAAGCCAATTTGCAGTGCAGATCAGCGGCTTTGGAGGAGGGGGGACTGCCGGGAAGCATCTCCATCACATAGGACAGACGGACAGAGAGCATTTACCTTGGAAGATGATTTTGGTTCGGTCCAGGGGAGCTACCGCCGTTTTGGCAAGAGCACCGGCCAGGGCCCCAGACAGGAGGGAGCTGAGAACTTGCCTGTGATCACTCTGCAAGAAAACACAAAATACAGTCTGTCAGGAGAGAGACAGGGACAGGGGTCGCCTCTGTTGGCGACCGCCCCCAGGAGGAGCATCTTCCTTCTGTCCCCTCGAGGGCTGTAAAAGGCAAAACTGTGCAAGCATCACAGCCCTGCTGGGCCCGGGGCAGGCTGTCATGAGTCCACCAGCCACAGAACCTGGGTGGGACATAGTGAAAACCTTCCTGGGGGACAGGGACCATCCTCATGAGAGGTGACCCACTGGCGGGGCTGTCCCATGAGTTTCCAACTTCTCAGAGACAGCCTAGGACAGGACTGACCCCAAAGAGAAGGGTCACCCCCCACCAAGTGCAGACTCTGGCTGTGCCCACTGCCTGTGTGCACTGGACAAGGGCCCCTGTGGTCTGGGGATCAGGCCGGTGTCGAGCAAGCAGACCCTGACTGTGTCCATGTGACCCCATTCCACAACTTTCCATCAGGCCCGCGGTGGCCGGCATCTGTGGCTCTTTATCCAACCAAGGTGAGGGTGGCGGTGATGGTGGGTGGCCGGCCTGCATCACGAGGCCAGCCTCGGAGCCAGCACTTTCCCGAGTCTTCTCGATGCTCCCCGTGGAGTTGCACAAGAAGTCACCTACTCATCAGGTTGGAGTCTCTGTTTCCCCAGCTGACTCAGCCACAGAACTCTCGCCAAGCAATCACGGGGAGCACTGGGGACAGGAGGGGCTCCCATCTTCCCTGGCTCCACAGTGAGGAAGGACGGTGAGGGGCAGGTCAGTGATCCCAGGAGTCCCTAGAGTCTGACAGGAACCAGGTGCCCTGAGGGGCCTTGGGACCCAGTGTGTGTGGGTAGGGAAGTGGGTATGACACCTCCCTGCCCCTGGGGCTGCCAGTCCACAGGGAGAGCCAGACATGAACTAAAGCTTTAGACAAACATGTAGGGGCACCGGGGTGGCTCAGGCGGTTAAGTGTTGACCTTGATTCTGGCTCAGGTCATGATCTCAGGGTCCTGAGATCAAGCCCCACATCGGGCTCCGCACTCAGTACAGAGTCTGCTTGTCCCTCTCCCTCTGATCCTCCTGCTCAAGCTCTCGCTCTCAAATAAATAAATTAATTAAATTAAATTACATTAAAATGTGTCGAGTCACCAATCCAGGATGGCTGTAAGGAGGGGCCTTAGGGTCCTGGGAGAACATGGGGTTGGGGGTGAGGGGCTGAGGTTGAAAGATGAGGTGCAGCTAACTGGGATATGTTTGTGTGTGTGTGTGTGTGTGTGTGTGTGTGAGAGAGAGAGAGAGAGAGAGAGATCATATAAGAAGGGGAGGAATGGAAAACCCAGGGGCCCAGGTGAGAAAAAGCCGGGGGTCCTGGGGGACCACAAGAAAGGCAGGGTGGTTGACACAGCAAAAGGGAGGGGGCATAGGGAGGAGAGAGGAGATGAAAGGAGGGTGGGGGCTGGACTCCAAGGAACCTGGGGGCTCAGCAAGCAGGCTGGTGTTTACCCAAAGAGAAATGGAAACGCACAGAAAGTAGACAGGCCATTTTAACTGTAACCAGAGAGGAGGCAATGCATGCAGAAGCTCAGGGTGGAGAGATGGGGGCTAGGACTAGGGGACGGATAAGGGGCATTTGGGGGGTACAACTAGCAGCCTGGGTCTGAGTGGGCATGATGGGGTCCAGGGCCACTCCCCAGGTTTGCTCAGCTCAGCGGGTGGATCAGGGGTGAAGGGCTGGGCTCCAAGCCTGTCCGCACACCTGGCCTGAATCTGGGCTCTGTCCCGATTGCTTGCAGTGACTGATGGCCTCTCTGATCCTCCTTTCCTCGCCTCTGACACACTGACGTGCTGTCTCCTGGCCGGGTCTGGGTGCTCCCCGGGGCCATGATGCCTTACAACCCGGCCCTGTCCCTGGGGGGCTTCAGCTCCTTTCCCTTAATGTCCCCGGGACTTCCTCCAGCAGCCGGGCCCTCCCCTCCCCAGAGAAGCGATTTCCCACGGCAGTGTTTTCCCTCCTAAGTTTCTGAAGTGGAGCTTCACCTCTGGATTCCAGCTTCTTCCTGCACGGAAGCCTGTCACTGGGGGACCCCTGCCTTTTCTGGATCGCACAGCAAGGTTCTGGAGGTCTGGCTCCACCCGCTTTGTGAAGTGTGGATGTCAGGCGCCAGAAGGTTTGGCGGTGTTCCCGGCACCAGCTCCGAGGCCCAACTGGGTCCCAACCTCCTCTGGGGGTCAGCGTGATGACGGTTCACCTCGTGCACCGCTGGGAGCCGAGGGCGCACCCCACGGACGGTCCCTGCTGCTCTAGAGGCGAAGCCGAGGCGCCCCTTCCACGGCCTTTACTAGGCAGCTTTCTGGGCAGCCTGTGGTGCTCGCGCTCACGGGCCGGGCACGCGTGTCCTTAAACCTCACTCGGGATGTGGCGCTCCGGGGATGTGCCGTGAGCCCAACTCCTGTGCTCGCCGGACGAGGCGGCCGCCGCCTTTGGCCAACGCTCCCAGTGACTCTTAAGTGACCAGGGCCAGCTGATTCTTCGAAGAGCTCGACACCGGCGTCACGGAACAGCCAGGTGCGCCATATGCGTCAGACGGAGAGCGCGCGTAAGCGCAGAACAAGCCAGATGGCCCAGTAGAGAGCGAGCAGGCGATCCACAGACAGGAGCCACGCGGGCTGTGAACGCCACGAGAAGATGCTCAGCTCCTTCACCAAAGACACGGGACCTGACACAGTAGGCTCCCCCCATCAGGCTGGCTGAGCGAACCAAGACTGATGGCGGCCGCGCGGGCCAGTGTAGCGGAAAACCAGCACTGGCTGCGTCCCAGAGCACGACGGGCACCGGGTCCGTGGCTGGGCACGTCCGCTCGGTGGGATTCAGCCCGCCCGCCAGGGGCTGGGGAGTTCGCTACACCATGAGGGACAGATGTGCGTGCTCTGGGGTTTGGCCTTGCTCCCGCGCATCCACCCCCAGCATGGCGACGGTGGCCCCACACGCTGACCCTACAAACCAGTCCTCCTGCCCATCTGGTGCTTCCCAGGGTGCCCCAGAATTTGAGGAAAGCTGGGGAAGGCCGGAGAACGATGCCGCTTCCGCCTTTGACCCCGTGGACTTTGAGAATGGCCCGTGGGCCCCAGCGCGGGGTTTCTGCGTGGGGCTGGGTCAGTCTGTGCTCCAGGTTCAGCCAGAAGAGCTTCTACCGGCTTCTTCGGTGAACGAGGACAGGGCTGACCCCATTTCTTTCAAAGGGAATATACCTTTTCTCCGAGAGAAGGGTGGAATCAGAGATGAACCTGAGAGAGGAGACTGGGAGCCAAGAGCACACCCTGCATGCGAGCGCCTGCCCGTGACTGTCTCGTGCTCACAAATCCCAGCGAGAAAAGGAGTTCAAGGACACCTTTTGACTTCCTAGCCAAATTTGGGCGAGGTTCTGGCTTCTTACCAAGTGGCTGGGCAGACTGGATCCACATCACAAACGGGACTTTAAATGGAACAGAAGGAGGCCAACCTCCTGCACCCCCCTCTGCCAATGGCCTCCCACCAACACAGCTCCACCCAGAGTGTGTGTGTGTGGGGGGGGCAATTTGCCATGGGGTGCAGGAACACAGAAAAGGGACCTCAGGAAAACGCCCATCGGGGAGGCAGGGTACTTGCCTTGGAATTGACGGGTGAGGGCAGGATGGCCTCGGCATCCTCACGCACACGCGCCGTACTCTCCTTCACACCATTACCCATTCCAGGCCAGCTCTGGGCGGCAGGAGACTCGGTCCTGGGAGAGAGGGGGTACGGTGAGACCTGGCGAGAGGAGGGCCAACCCGACCTGCCTCAGGCCTGTGACTCATCCCTGAGTCACCCGAAGCCAGAACTGCCCTAGCAGGGTGCTCTTCCCAGCCTGGCTTGTTTCCCTGCAGGGGAAGGACGTGGGCACCTGCATCCGAATGGCAGTCCCCAGCGCAGATCGCTTAATCACTGCCAAAAGCCCTTCTCATCGGCTCTCTGACTTGATCATCACAAACAGGTCTCTGAGTTGTCTGTTGTTTTTTTTTTAACCCAGTATCACCTGGCAGATGGGCTCAGAGAGGTGAAGCCACCTCTGAAGGTCACACAGCAGGAGGCAGAGGTGGCCCCACCTGCCTGGACCCAAGCACCCACTGGGCTTTTGTCAGCTTGGACCTGAGTATCTATTCAAAGAAACACTTAGAAAATTACTCTCTTTCCTACTGCAAGTTTGCCCAATCTTTCTGGCCAAGCTTACAGTAAAGAGTCCGAATATTTGAGGATTCCTCCCCGGAAACCTCCATTTAACCTCTAGGTGGAAGTACCCACAAAGCTCAGGAAAGCTCAGCAAACCACAGTGAGGAGAATAGACAGAAAAAAGGATGAAGGACGAGTGTCACCAAGATGCCAACTGTGCACTGGGGTTCCTGGGGGTCTCGGTTCCCGTGCTTTAAGATTATCCAATAAATCGATGCACTTTCCTGTAAAATGATGCAAATGATGCAGACATCCCCTGAGCGGTCTGTGAAGGCCCCTCCTGCCCTCCAGGTCCTCCTGGGGACCCCACGTCAATGCCGGGGCAGAAGGCCCTAGAAAGCACAAACAGGATTCCCCTCCACTTGTCCTCGGCTGCTGTTTCCCATCTCAACTGGGCCCTGGCTCCAGGAGGAATGGCTGCTTCTAAGACAGGGGAGGAATGAGCCCAGAGCCACCCTGAGGTGCCAGGGAGGAACCAAACCAATGCGGGTGTGACAATGGGAGAGGGAGGAGAATCACAGAGCTGCCAGTGGCCAAAGCCGGAACGCTCTGAGCAACAAGCACTGGATTATAGCCCAAGGTATAAAATAAATATCCACAAGTCCACAGTTAGAAATAAATGATTAGGGGAGCCTGGCTGGCTCAGTCAGTGGAGCATGTGACTCTTGAGCTCAGGGTTGTGAGTTTGAGCCACACGTTGGGTGTGGAGATTACTTAAAATCTGGGGCACCTGGGTGGCTCAGTTGTTAGGTGTCTGCCTTCAGCTCAGGTCATGATCCCAGGGTCCTGGGATGGAGCCCTACATCGGGCTCCCTGCTCCGCGGGAAGCCTGCTTCTCCCTCTCCCACTCCCCCTGCTTGTGTTCCCTCTCTCACTGTGTCTCTCTCTGTCAAGTAAATAAAAAATAAATCTTAAAAAAAAAAATAAAATCTTAAAAAAAAAAAAGAGGGCGCCTGGGTGGCTCAGTTGGTTAAGCGACTGCCTTCGGCTCAGGTCATGATCCTGGAGTCCCGGGATCGAGTCCCGCATCGGGCTCCCTGCTCGGCAGGGAGTCTGCTTCTCCCTCTGACCCTCCTCCCTCTCATGCTCTCTGTCTCTCATTCTCTCTCTCTCAAATAAATAAATAAAATCTTTAAAAAAAAAAAAGACATGACTGAATTCATAAATAAATGGGAAGAGGCAATCTCCCAGGCAGAAGAATCCCAAATAATTTGTGTAGCTGCTTTGCTCTGGAATAGGGGGAGTTCTCAAAACTGTCAAGGTCATCAAAAACAAGAAAGTCCGAGAAACAGTCTCAGCCCAGAAGAGCCTAAGGAGACGTGACGACTAGATGTCAGGTGGGATTTGGCGACGAGAAAAGGATATTAGGGAAAACTGAGGAAATCTGAATAAACTATGGCCTTTAATTAGTCATCTATCAGTATTTGCTCATTAGTTGTGACGAACGTACCAAAGTGAAGTGTTATTAGCAGGGGAAATTAGGTGTGTGGGGTGTAGGGGAACTGTTACCTTTGCCAATTTTTATATAAATGCCAAACTGTTCACAAACCCACAATGAGAAACTAGGCCCTAGGGAACTTTCCGAGCCAGCTGCTGGGGTATCAGCTTGTGGGGGGCACGGAGACTGTTTCACCCCCACCCGCAGCGTGGACAGCTGTGACTCAGCACCATCCCCAATGCTATGGACCCCAGGGGACAGTCCCCACATCCAGGCACGCAGACGGATGGTGCAGCCTTCCTTAGGGCTGTGTTGGGGGCGTGGGCACGTTGAATGTGGACACATTCTGTGAAAAGTGCCTTCCTGAGAAAGCATCCAACCCTTTGGTCCCAGCCTCACGCGGCTCTGCTCTGTGGCCTCACCCTCCCTCCAACTCCTGCTCCGAGCTCCCCAAGAGACAAGAGCCAGTTCGAGACCGGCGGGCGGTGCTCTGCGTTGGGCAGACTGTGCAGGTTCAGAGGGGGCTGCCTGTCCAGCCTGGTGGACCATTCTTCCCTCAGCTGTTTGGCTCCGGGACCTGCTGCGGGAACTCAATGCAGACCATTCATGAGGGGGCCTCGGCGTGGTGGATGCAGACAGAAATGACGGCGCCACACAGAGCCGTCACACCTACGACACCGTGTCACTGCAGGAGACAAAGTGCCCAAAGCAAGTCACGGGAGCCCCCCAGAGACGTCTCCACCCGCAACTTATGATTGGATTCCAGTGCGACTGCAAAAGGGTCTTTGCAGATGTAATTAAGGAGGGATCGCAACATGAGACAGTCCTGGATCATCCCGCCATCCAACTCGATCTGATCAGACAGAAGAGGAGACAGACAGGAAGGCCATGTGACCGGAGGCAGAGACTGGGGTGATGTGGCCACAAGCCAGGGACCCCCGGGAGTCAGTAGCTGGTACAGACAGGAGCCTGCCCTGGAGCCTTCAGAGACTGCACGGCCACACACACCTCAGTTTTGACCTTTTAACTTCCAGAATTCAGAGACTAAAATTGTGTTGCCTCAGGCCTCTGGTCTGTGGGGACTTGTCAAGGCAGCCATGGGACACTAAGGCTAAGGGCCCTTTTTAGGGAAGGGGGGCCTAGGGCCCCCCGGCGCCGGAGAGTGGGCAGTCTCAGGCTGCCAGCCACTCA